CCCATGATCGGCCCAAACAACACTATGTTTTGTCCTTATAATAGTGGAGAAAACCTTATCTGACTCATTTTTATGCCTAAATTTCACTTACCTTGAAATTTAAATATCTCTCTCCAGACAAGCCAACGGCAGCTAATATTTTAACCTTGTTAGTTTGGCGGTGAGGGCTTTCATTTGACCCGAATATGTTCCAGTTTTTTGCTTATCAGTACAAACACCTCCATTGTCAGATAAAATACTCATAGGCCTAATAATGATTACCATTTTTCTTCAATCATAAAATCAGAGCGAGAACGAAAAGGTATACCACTAAAATAGTGTTTACGTTTCAAAGTCGTTCTCCTTCACTTGGCAGAAAAAAAAATTTATGATTGGCTCACAAATGATGCATTTCATTGCTAGTTGAAGAGTATAGTGTACCCAGAGATATACTGATGTGACATGCTATCACCAGTATGTGACATCGTCCTTACATTATTTCACTCTTACATCCTATCATCCTTGTATGATGTCAACCTTGTATTCTTACGTAATACTGCTCATAGTATTCAATATCTTTATAATCGCTGCGTATCTGCTGCATATATGCTCATTGTTCTCTTTCCACTACGAAGGATTACCGCATCAAACAGAAGCAAGGTGAATTCGTTGACAAGGTGAGAGAAGAGAAGAGAACAATCGAGAATATACTCGTTCGATATAGCGCAGTGTGAAGGATACAACTCCTTGACATTACACACTCTTTAGATGGTATATATGAGCCATTCCACGTAAGCCACGACCGAAGCTGCTCAATCGAGGTCTTCAGAATTTGCTCAATCTAGGGTAATCTTATAGTGGGAAGAGTGTTATAAACTTTGACGCAAGCCGTTTCGAAAAATATTGAACTGTTGATTCTTTATGGCTGTTTTATAAAAAGTACTAAAAATCAACATTTCGACCAAGGAGGATCCTCTCAGGGCCGTTGTTAACGGTGATTCATCCTCATTCTTCCCTTGATATCTTTCTCTTTCTTTTTCTTCTATAGCTACTGTTATTACTGTATATCTTTTTTTCTTTTCTTCTCTTTTCTCTATTGTTTGTTGTGATATATATGTACGTGATTCTAAGGACATTTAAAGAAGATAAATAAAATAAAATATAAGCTCGTCGTTTACGAGCTAACCGTTTGGTGCCGTGACCCATCTTCTTCTATTTACCACATCGAAGAAGAACGAACTTATGAATTAATTTACTCATCCGTGACGGAAAGAGTGAAGTACCATCTCATCTTTTTAGGAAAGAGAAGGTTACATATTTACATACAAATTAATTTCAAAATTTAATTATTATAAGAAGGTATCTTTCTTCTATATAAAGTTCAAATTTTCTTGTCCTTCCTTTAAGTGCATTTTTTTCTTTTCAACAAAGGCTACTGGTACAAGAAACGCAATAATGCAAAGTGGTGAGAATAATTTATCATATGAATTAATTACAAATTCACCAACAAGAATACGAAACAAAAAAATAAACGATATTTCATTTATGCAAGAAATGGAAACGAATTCTATGGAAACCAGACAATTACATTCAAGTCAAAAAGAAGCAATGAAGAAAATAACCGAATTCTCAGGTGAATCGAATGAACTTAGTATTGATGATTGGCTATTTGATTTAACCAATTTATTTTCATTAATGAAATTAAAAGATGAAACAAAAATTCTTGAAACAATGGGCAAATTAACAGGACCAGCATTACGATGGTTTCAAGAAAATTTAAAGCCATTCACCAATTGGAATGATGCTGAAAAAGCATTTCAAGATTGATTCAAAGAATTTACATCGAACAGTCAAATAATGCAAGAATTTTTTCATATGCATCAAGAAGAAAACCAATCTGTCATATCATTTTATGAAAATGTCATCCGCAAATACAGAAAATCTCGACACTTTATTACTGAACAACAAGTTATCACGGTATTACAAAATGATGTTAAAAAATCATTAAAGGAACATTTAATTCGTAATCAAAAAGAAATTAAAAAACCAGAACAATGGTTGCAATTTGCAAGAGAAGAAGAATATACAGGGTGTTACATAACCATTACGCCCCCTCTAGAACTTAAAGTATAAGTGATATCAAAGAGTGCTATATACCAAATTAATGCTCGTGAAAAACTGGATCTAGGAGTATAATTAATAGATCTTAGAATAATTATTGGGTATGGAATTAGTGAAATGTCTTGAACTATATGCCAAAATGCGCTCGTATTTTACGATTTTCATTCTTCATCTAGATATCTTCACCAAAAATAATAGCAGATTCGTAATCTTCATAAAAAACTGCATCTATAGACATGTCATTTGTATCTTTTTGACGAAAAAAATTTTTTCAAAAATCCTGAGGAATGCGCATCTTATGCCTAAAATACACACCATGCAAGGTTTTTGAAAAATTTTTTTTTTGTCAAAAAGATACAAATGACATGTCTATAGATGCAGTTTTTTATGGAGATTACAAATCTGCTATTATTTTTGGTGAAAATATCTAGATGAAGAATGAAAATCGTAAAATACGAGCGCATTTTGGCATATAGTTCAAGACATTTCACTAATTCCATACCCAATAATTATTCTAAGATCTATTAATTATACTCCTAGATCCAGTTTTTCACGAGCATTAATTTGGTATATAGCACTCTTTGATATCACTTATACTTTAAGTTCTAGAGGGGGGCGTAATGGTTATGTAACACCCTGTATACAAAAACGAATTCAACAAAAAATTAATGTTCCACATCACGAATCAAAGAATTCACCATTTTTTGAACGTACACTACCAACTGCAACAATTCAACCAACGTCAACGAATATTCATTTATCAAGTCAACAGCCATTTACATCACGTTATTACTATAAACAATCAACATCAACAAATAATCGAACATATCCAACACAAAATAATTATACGAATTTTAAACACAATCAAAAAAATCATCCAAAAAAGGAAGCACAGCGATTAACTCCATGTTTAATTTGTAACAAAACGAATCACCCAACAATTAAATGTTTTTATAAAAAAGACAACGGCTGTTTTAAATGTGGACAATCAAATCATCAAATACGTGATTATCCTCAACAACATTTTTTCGAATAAAGGGATCGGATGATGGCGACGATCCCTGCGGAGCCAAAAGGTCATCAACCACAACAACATTTATTCCCATTTTTGTTAAAATTCTATGCAATAATACTCCACAAGAAGCACTTATAGATACAGGATCGGCCATCACTATTATACATCAATGCTTATTAAATGATATTCCACATGAAAAATTTATACCAAAAACAAAAAATCATTTATCTGAAAATTGTTCAACTTTAAATACAAGTAGCGCTCATCCTTCGGATTCGCTGACCCTTTTCTGAAAGAATTACACTTCATTATGAATATAAAACAATTGTATTATAAAAAATGACTGTTATAGCTTGGTCGACATTGATTATCAATAGTTGACTTAATCTATTTCTTTTAAAATATTATGTAGATGTTAGATTGAATGAAATTGCATATAATAATACAACTGTTAAACCTTGAAATTTCCATTAATCATAGCTCTCTCAGAGGTCATACTAACCGATATTTCTCGTAGAAAAAACCATTTATGTAAAGATTAGAATGTATTGTTGATTGCAGTGCATATAGAACAACACTAGATAACGAAGAAGTGGTGTTTCTGCTGTAATTCATGTTCATTGATATATACTCGACGTATTATACTGAAAAGTGATTAGAATTTTAAAATACTTTTTTTTTATTTTTGTATACAGCGAGAGTAATCTTATGATTCATGCTAGGTGCATATAAAGCCCAGTTAGGTGATCAAATGATCGAAGTATATAATTAAAAGTGGCTTTCACCTTTGTATATTAATATTCTGTTTATTGGAAAAAAATTTCTACTACAATCGATTGTATTTCATAAAGATATAAAAACATTTTTAGTACATTATGACTTCTATCTTGACCAGTAAAAATCAATATCAAATAGATTCTAAATGAAGTACTGAGATATAGACTTCACGAATAATCAATATGCGAATATTAGACATGACATTTGAACTACTAGTGAGAACACATTCAAAGACGACGTTATGCAAAAAATTTAAACTTAGTATTAAAGAGATTGTACATGAAAAATGAAACTTTGAGCTGTATAATAAAAAGAAGAAGCATTGTAATATGTACAATTAACTTTAAATTATAGATAGATGTTAACAAATCCCTAGAAACACTTGATAAAAAAACGATTTTTGAGTTCAAGTGCGAAAAGAAAGCGAATCTATATAATTGTTAATATCAAATTTGCTTAACTTAGTCAAATAATACATATTGGGAAAATGGATTTCACTTCAATATCGATCATACTACGACACGAACAGGGATTTTCACAATGATCGTTTACACCGATAAACATAATATGCTAAAACAGCCAATCCGATAAGAAACCAGTTGAAAGTTAGCGCACCAAAAGGTCCAATATAAGTAGAGAGAGGGGTATAAGATCTTGAAAGAGCATGTTTTTGGTTTATAAATTCTATAAAAGCTTTTCTTTCTTGTTCGGCTACATTCTTTTTGAACCAAGTCATATTTTCGGTGATATATTGATGAACATTCATAACAGAGATATTTTTAGTAAATGAACCATTATGATGCAATATAACGAGTGAAGAGGCATTTGGAGTTACGGGGCAGCCTACTAAAGTGAAGCAAGGACACGCAATTATATAACCTTCAGTTACATTTACAATAGCAATAGGTGGAAGTATTATTTCCTCATTTATGCTCGAAATTTATTGCGTGGCATGGAAATATTTATTCCTTGGAATTTTCACACAGTGTATTGGTTTAGATGACGAAGTAATCCAAAGATTATCTCTTAACTGTCGGATAAAATATTTATTAGCAGGGACCGGTATTGTTTGACATTTAGATAGAGGAAGGTTTTCTACAATTTCATCCAAACAAGTATCTTTTGAGATCGTTCGAATAGGTGGATTATCACGGCAAGATGTCATCAGTTGAAGATCGCAACCAGATTCTTCACGATTATGCCATTCCATAGTGGTGTTATTTGCTAGATCAATTCCCCAGTATCGATGTATTTGAGCGAGTTCGATTACTTCATCTGTATGATAGAAGGGGATTGTCACTAATTTGTAGATATAGAAAAGCGTTTGTGCCTGTTTTGGAACGGCGAAATAACTAGTAATGACAAGACGACTGATTTCTTCTGGGTTATCCAGTTCTTCGGAATCATCTGTCATATGGTGTGAACTAGGAGTGAAATTTGTCTGCTGTTGAACAAGAAGTTTAGTAATAATTTGAACGATTGGAAGTGATTCAGGGTACGAATTAAATGTTAGATTTCCTTGCTTAATAACATGATATACCACTTTATATACGTCTTCTGGCGACAAAAAGCTGAGTGTAATTTCGCTTCGATATATTTGAGTTATTGCTGAATAAAGAAAGGATTGCTGAAACTGAACATGTAGGCGTTCAAGATCCATTTTAAGAATTTGGATGGCCTCGGAATGTGACTTTAAGACAGGCATCATATCATTAAGAGCTTTTTGTGTTACCTGAAGCTCCTCAACGATTTCTAAATGTTTGAACGAAATTTTTGCTAATTGTGCTCCATATAGTTCTACTGTTTGAGATAATGTTGATAGAGAGTTTTCAACAAGTGCTACTTGTTGATAAAGTTTTGCAATTAGTGCCGAATTTGTTATCGACGTAACAAGACTTACACATGCAATACCTAAACTTATAGGGTCGATGTAGCGTTTAGTTCTTTTTTTTGTGATATTGCAGAAAGGGATGAGTTTTGCAGCTGGGTGTGGAGTATGGGTGTGGGTGTGGGGTGTGGGTGTGTGTGTGGGTGTAGGTGTGGGTGGGTGTGGGTGTGGCGAGTAAAACAAGATCAACACCCAAACCGACCCACACACCCACACCCACTCACACCCACACCCACTCACACCCACACCCACTCAAACCCACGCACACCCACAGCCACACACCCACACACCCACACCCACACCCGCACCCACCCCACCCACACACCCATGCCCACACCCACACCCTCTGGAATTGAATTGAAAATAACCGAAACTAGTACATCCTCACATAGAACAGATTGACAACAAATGAGGCAGATTTCAATATAAGAATTTGTAATAATGCTACATGTAAATAAAATTGATGATGATGCAAGCAGAAGAAAAGGATCGACTAAAAAACATAAATGTTGTTACATATAACTGAAAAATGCGCCAGTGATATTTTCGTTCAAGAAAATCAATGAAACACATCTTTCGAAGATTACGATTGATATGATTATAATGATAGTGATAGTTGACTTTGGCTAATTTCTCTTCCATACAACTCGCAGTTTGTCATTCCACAAAGCGAGTAGTATATCCTTCATGAAATTCTAATATAGAGAAGCATCTCAG